ATACTAAATCAAGGTCTCCAAGGAAGCTTCTTTACTTTTTCTACAAATATATTTAAGCCAAAAGGGAAATTCTGTGAAAAAAATAATTTACACAATGCACAGTGGTTAAGCACTCAGCAGCTAACTGAAAGGTTAGCAGTTAAAACCCACCCAGGGGCTCTGAGAAAGACCTGGCAATCTGTCCCTTTAAAGATTACAGCCTAGAAAATCATATGGGGCAGTTCTACTCTGTCACTTGAGGTCATTGTGAGTTGACAATAGACTTGACAATACCTGACAAAAACAATAGGTACTTTTACTCTGTGTTATCGTATCATAAAACAGTTTAGTAAAACACATAAATATTGAACTTCTGGACTTGGCAAAAGTTTAGAGGACACTCTGCTTAATTTTTCTAATAGCATTTGGAAAAAAAAACAAACCTGGGAACAATTTGCATGTCCATTGATAGAGGAATGGTTGAATGGTTCATGGTATTTTATACTGTGATAAGATCTATAGGTTTGTTGTTCTTCTTATGTGCCGTTGAGTCTGACCCGACTCATAGCGACCCCTCCTTGGGTCTCCAAGGCAGTATCACTACAGAAGTAGATTGCCCCATTTTCCTTCTGAGGAGTGGCTGGTAGGTTTGAACCCATCTTTGAATGTCTTGAGGACTCAGTCAGATGATCCATGTAAAGTGCTAGCAGTCTCTGGGTGGTACAAAAGGTTAATGCACTGGGCTGCTAACTGAAAGGTTGGAGTCCAACCAGAGGTGCCTTGGAAGAAAGGCCTGGCAATCTATTTTGGAAAAAATAGCCATTGAAAACCCTATGCAGCACAGTTCTACTCTCACACACATAGGATGCCATGAACTGACTCGATGGCAATTGGTACTAATAACGTAAAGCATTTAGCATGATACCTGACATATAACAAGAGTTTAATAAATAGTTATTATTATTACTCATAATGTCTTTAAAGTGTAATAGCTCACCTCTACCCAAATTTGAGATGCATGAATACTTACCAATTTGGATAAAATTTAACATTTTAGGTCTAACAGACAGAAAAGGCTTATATAGGTGTTTAAGTTCTAACATGTTTGTTTAAAAGAAAAATTATTGAGGCATTGCATCATAATGGAACAAACCACGTCCAGGAGAAAAATAGGCAAATACTAATGTCTTCTCTGCCATTAGGCCTGTCACTTAACCCATCTGGATTAAAGCTGTCTCCACTAGAAAGGAGATTCGACAAGATAATCTGGAGGTTCCTGCCAGACCTAAAATGCTAAATATGACTTTATAAGCATATCTCAGTTTTTAAATCACTGAAATGTGCAAAGGAAAAACATAGAATCCAACTTGCACAATTACCAAGGGATAACTTTCATTTTCAGAATTACTGCTTACTTTCACTCCAAGCCTCAGTTAGAGAGGGGTGGGTAGATATTAAGAATAATTAAATATATTTTACATTCTCTTTATTAAGGTAACTCTTAAATTCAATGATTGCCAGAATTTCTTTCTTTCTAGTTGGAAACTTGCTTTCTTGCCTCTGGCAAATTACAACTTAAGGTGGGTAAATAATAAATTTGACTTGATGTATTTCACTGCCAAGAAGTGAAGACGCTAGAGAAATAGCTAAAAGCTTCTATTTGTCAGTGTTTTTAACCAATGTTGAAGCTACTAGATTGCCCTTGATTAGACTACTGGATTGCGATTGTCCTGGTTACCAAGTGCCACTCTGACAAGAATATACCACAAATGGGCCTTAAAAAACAGGAGTTTATTCTTACAATTTGGAGGCTTTAAGTCTGAGTTCAAAGTGCCAGGCTCTAGGGGCTGTATGAAAGCTCCTGGACCTTGGGATTCAACTTTGCCTCTTGCTCCTGGCCCAATGAAGGTAGAGGCATCTCTTCATTCAGGCAGCTACCGGCTGCTGAGGCTAACAAGCCCAAGGTCAACAAATAAAATGGTACAGTCCTGATGTTATCAAAGCACATGGCAGGCTATCAATTCAAGTCCATTTTAAGTCCCGAGGTCGGCAGAGCATGGCAGGCTGCTGAATAAAATGGCACAGTCCTGATGTTATCAAACCACACGGCAGGCTATCAATTCAAGTCCATTGTAAGTACCAAGGTCAGCAGAGCATGGCAGGCTGCTGAACAACACAGCTACATGCAGGTTCCAAGCATGCCATAAGCTGGAGACTATCCCCAAGGCTTCTTATATATAGGAAGCAGACCACATACCCAAAGCAGCTACTCAGCTGCTTGTGGTAGATCCCACCATGGAATTGATTGCCAGTCTCCTCATGGGGAATAACTACCACCAGCTGCCCAGCCACACAACCAGGCCCAGCCACATTGACACACAAACATAACTACCACAATTCCACCCCTTGTCAACTTGGCACCTGTACAGATCTTCAGTGGGTGGCATCTGTACAGATCTCTCTCACTAGGTCGCTCCAGTCCCCTTGTTCCTCTAAATGGTGACCTCACCCCCTTGGCCTGGCAAGCCCCGTTCTTCTCCCTCTTGGGCATGGCAGCCCTGCCCCCTCAGCTATGGCTCCATCCTGCTAGCTCACATGAACGAGCAGCCCACACTCCAGAACTGAGTTGGTGAAGGTCTAACTCTTTGAAACCTAGGGGACTGTGGTGGTTCCACCCCCAAAGGCCATAGTCCTACACTTTGAGGCTGAGGCAACTCTGCTTCCCATTTCCTTGGTCTCTCTGCTTCTGCCAATTAATACCCAAGGGCAACCCACTCCACCGGAAATCTTTCTGCCCTAAGGACACTTAGATTTCTTGCTCCATGGGCTGGCCAACCTGCTACTCCATTTTATGCTGGTCTGTTCACCAATTAATGCCCGAAGGCAACCCACTTTGCCAGGAAACCGCCTACACAATGGCACCCGGCTTTCTCCTCCATGGGCTGGTAAGACTGTTGTTTAATGCTGGTCTCTGGGCTCTGCTCCTGCCATCTCTCATGCCGTATGCCAGGATCTCTCTGCCAGGGTCTTGGGCCAAGGATGCACTCCACTCCTGTTTCCACATTTTAGGTATCTGCCAGAGCAGCACCCCACTCTCTCTGTTCTGGTTACCTAGTGCCACTCTGACAAGAATATACCACAATTGGGATGGCCTTAACAAACAGGAGTTTATTCTTATAATTTGGAGGCTTTAAGTCCAAGTTCAAAGTGCCAGGCTCTAGGGGCTGTGTGAAAGCTCCTGGACCTTGGTATTCAACTTTGCCTCTTACTCCCTGCCCACTGAAGCTAGAGGTATTTCTTTATTCAGGCAGCTACCGGCTGCTGAGGCTAACAAGCCCAAGGTCGTCAAATAAAATGGCACAGTCCTGATGTTATCAAGCCACACGGCAAGCTATCAATTCAAGTCCATTGTAAATCCCAAGGTCGGCGGAGCATGGCAGGCTGCTGAACAACAACACAGCTACATGCAGGGTCCAAGGATGCCATAAGCTAGAGACTATCCCCAAGCCTTCTCCTTATATACAGGAATCAGACTACATACTCAAAGCAGCTACTCAGCTGCTTGTGGTAGATCCCACCATGGAGCTGATTGCCAGTCTCATCATGGGAAATAACTACCACCAGCTGCCCAGCCACTCCACCAGGCCCAGCCAAGTTGATATACAAAAAACTACCACAGTGACGTACAGGCCCAGAGAAGCCCAGTTTTATTTTAAGATATGAAGGAAGATAACTAACATTTATCTAGTACTAGTATACTATATATATATATATATATATATATGTATATATATATATTACCCACACACACACACACACACACATTATAATTTAATCATTTAGTTTTATTATCCACTCTTCAGAAGGAAGGGGAAGGTTGGGCAATCTACTTCCGTAGTGATATTGCCTTGGAAACCCAAGAAGGGGTTGCTGTGAGTCAGGTCCGACTCGATGGCACATAAAAACAATAACAATCTATGTATATAATATAATTGTGTGTGTGTGTGTGTGTGTATAATTTAATCCTAGTATTAGACAAATACTAGTACTGCTAGTACTTTACATAGATCATCTGACTGAATTCTGAAGACATTCAAAGATCATATCTATAGATCTAATCACAGTATAGAATACCATGAATCATTCAACCATTCCTCTATTAATGGATGTGCAAATTCTGCCCAAGCTTTTTTTTTTTTTTTAATGCTATTAGAAAAATTAAGCAGAGTATCCTATAAACTTTTGCCAAGTAATTTAATCCTTACAGCCATCCTCTGAAGTAAAGATTATCACCTTCATTTTAAAGACAAGAAAATTTAATAATAGCCAAACTACCACTTAGAAAAGTACATACCCTCAAAATATTTCACACTTGTAGCGCTGCTCAAAATATTTTTTGAAAAAGTTAGAAATCATGTTAAATTCTCAATATCAACAGGCCGTCTCACTTAAACCTAGAGACTCTTATTTCTTTAGGAAAAAAAAAAGTGGGGTAGGTCTTTTTTTAAATGGTTATTTTTGGTAAGATTCAAGTGCTGTGAACAGAGTTATGGGCTGTTCTACAGTGCAGTCCTTTCAAATGTCTTTCAAACACAAAAATATTGAGAATTCTGGGCAAATCTTTAAGTTTAGCATTATAATTAGCTTCAACACTGCATAATTTAAAATAACTTCTCCAACATTTATCTTTCCAAACCCCAAAAAACAAAGGGAAAGTTCAAAGTTTTAATGAATAATTGCATCCTGCCTGTAAAAGATGACTATCTTCCTAACCATGGTCCTTAGAATAGTTTTACTAACTTCCATCATCTTAGTTACTCAAGTGCTTTGACAAGTATGACAAGCTTGTACAGTGAATTGTGACTTCAAGAGCAATGTGTCTTTATAGGCATTCCCTACTAAATGCTGTTTTTATAACATTTCAGTTATTCAATACTGACATTTACATTTTCATCAAATTCATCATTTTATCTAAATCATCAAATTTATCCCATCCTTTGTATTTAGTGGTGAACACTTACTTCCTTAAGTTTTCTCATCTTTGCAGGTTTTCTGGGAACAATGTGAAAATAACTGCAAATGAAGATAAAGAAATACAATTAGAAGATAAATATTTTAATAGAAAGTTTGAGCTTCTTTAGAGATGACTTTTCACAGCATTAAAATTTCAAGCCCATAGCAATTTAAAACTAAAATAAAGAGCACTGTAAATGCTAGAATCCAAATCAATATACACCTACTCCTCATTTACTATCACATTATCTGACACTTCACATTTACAATAGTGAAAAAAATCTACTATCCAACTATTTTGAGCATTAACAACATATTTTTGGCAGCAACAAATGCCAAGATGTGAGGCAAGAGTAACACTGGCTGTAATGGTTAAGTTTATGTGTCAACTTGACTAGGCCATGGTTCTCAGTGTTTTGGCAGTTAGGTAATAATGTAATCATCCTCCATTTTGCGATCTGATGTGCTTATCTTCCATTTTCACATAATGCCAGTTGCTTTGGTTACTTTGTGCTGCTCTAACAGATAATACCACAAATGGGATGACTTCAACAAACAGGAGTTCATTCTCTTACAGTTTTGGAGGCTAGAAGTCCGAGTTCAAAGTGCCAGCTCAAGGGGCGGGATGAAAGCCCCTCAACCTTGGGCTTCAGCTCTGCCTCTTGCTCCTGACCCACTGGAGCTAGAGGCTTTCTTCACTCAGGCAGCTGCTGGTTTCTGAGGCTTACAAACCCAAGCTCAACAAGTAAAAAGCCACAGTCCTGATATTACCAAACTATATAGCAGGCCATCAGTTCAAGACCAGAGACAGTCCCAAGATCAGCAGGAAACATGGCAAGCTGTTAAATGAAAACTAGGCTATATGCAGAATTCAAGTATGCCAAAAGCTGCAGACCTTTTGCAGTGCTTCTCCTTATATACTGGGAGCAGACCACATCCCTAAGGCAGCTACTCAGCTGCTCCAGTAGATTCCATCATGGAGTTGATTACCAATCTCTCCAAGGGGAATAACTACATCCAGCTGCCCAGCCACTCAAAACCAGGCCCAGCCAAGTTAACACATAACCTCAACTGTTGTTGTTAGGTGCCGTTGAGTCGTTTCCAACTCATAGCAACCCCATGCACAGCAGAATGAAACACTGCCTGATCCCGCGCCAGCTCCACAATCCTTGCTATACTTGAGCCCATTGTTGCAGCCACCATGTCAATCCATCTCATCGAAGGCCTTCCCCTCCTTTGTTGACCCTCCACCTTACCAAGCATGACATCCTTCTCCAGGGAATGGTCCCTTCTTATAACATGACCAAAGTAGGTGAGACGAAGTCTGGCCATCCTCACTTCAAAGGAGCATCTCAGCTGTACTTCCTCCAGGACAGATCTGCTAGTTCTTTTGGCAATCCATTGTACCTTCAGCATTCTTCGCCAGCACCACAACTCAAAAGCATCAACACTTCTTTGGTCTTCCTTATTCATTGTCTAGCTCTCACATGCATACGAGGTGATTGGAAATAACATGGCTTGTGTCAGACGCACCTTAGTCCTCAAGGAGACATCCTTGCTCCTCAGCACTTGAAAGAGTTCCTTCGCAGATGATCTGCCTAGTGCTACACGTCATCTAATGTCCTGACTGCTGCTTCCATTGACCTCGATTGTAGAACCAAGCAACGTGAATTCTTTGAGAACCTCAATCTTTTCTCCATTTATTGTGATGCTGCTTATTGGTCCATTTGTGAGGATTTTTGTCTTCTTTATATTGAGATGTAATCCATACTGCAGACTGTGTTCCTCAATCTTCATCAGTAAGTGCCTCAAGTCATCCTCACTTTCATCAAGCAAAGTTGTTTCATTTGCATATCTCAGGTTGTTAATGATTCTTCCTAACCTCAACTACCACACCAGTTTTCACATAAAGACCTAATGTTTGTCACCTAATCATGTCAGTAAGTGAGGGGTGGGTGTATAGTAGTAATGCCATTGGAGGGCAAGTTTTCATACTGGATACCGTTGAAATTGCCCAATGGAAAACTCTCTTAGATATGATTTCCCTCATATAAATTTATTATCAGAGACAGAAGGACCTTAACCCACTGCCATAGAATCAAGTCTGACTCATAGTGACTCCCACTGGGTTTCCAAGGCTGTAAATCTTTACGTGAGTAGATTGCCTCATTCTCCTCCATGGAGCAGCTGATGGGTTTGAACCACTGACCTTCTGGATAGCAGCCAAATGCCTTACCCACTACACCACCAGAATTCCTTAGAAGGACCTTAGAGATTATGAAAATCCATTGGCTTTTCTAACCAAGTCACTAAAAGCCCAAAATATTAAGTTCACCAAATGTCCCACAGTTGGACAAAGTCACAATAGACACTCAAAACTCTTTGTTCAGCTGCTTTTCAACTCCACCATTTCATCTTATTTCATAAGGTTTCATCATTGTTCCCATTTTGCCAAAACTATAAACTGGACAAGATTCACAGAATAAGTTTTATGAGTGCTAGTAGCAAATTTCTTAATGCTTGAAGACTTTTGAAGAGTTTTCTCTATTCTTTACAAATAAAATATTTAAATAATAAATAATACCTTAAGATTAATATGTGACTTTAAGATTTTTTCCTGATTTAAATACATTTGTTGTTGTTGTTGTTGCTATGTGCCGTCGAGTCGGCCCCGACTCATAGCGACCCCTCCTTGGGTTTCCAAGGCAGTATCACTACGGAAGTAGGATTGCCCAACCTTCCTTCCGAGGAGTGGCTGGTGGGTTTGAATGTATACATTTTAATAGACAATTTTGAGATTGTTGTAATGTTTAATGGTTTTAATATTATTCAAAAGAAGAATAGACTTAGTAGAGAGAAGGAAAAATAAATTTTTAATGTATTCAATATAACAAGAAAAGGCAAATATATATAGAAACTAAAGGTTGTTAGTGGTTACCAGTGCAGGAGGGAGAGGGGTTAACAGTGATGGGAATATTGCATTAAGGGTAGGGATGCACAGCCAATTATTGTAATTGTTGTCAAGTTGAATTTAACCTGTAAAAATTTGAATTGGCAAAAAAAAAGTATTCAATACAGAGCCAAAAGTCACAAACTCAAATGCCCACAGAAGCAGAGAAGTAAAAAATAAAACTTTCCAGGGGTAGTTAATAAGAAGTGGTGGGGAATGTTGCAAGTGGGAGAGTACTTCCCCATCTTAAATGAACAGTACTTCATTGCTCTAGGTGATTGTTTTATTGTGGAAATATGGGCTGCGTGATTTGGGAAAAGCCTCTAGCTTGACGTTTGATCCAAGACTTTGGACTTTCCAGCTTCTATAAATATATGTATCATTTTCCTAAGATAAATTTTCTCTTTCTCTCTATATATAAGCTTTACTGGTTTTGTTTCTCTAGAGAACCCAGTCTAACACACCCAGTCTTCCTTCCGAGGAGTGGCTACTGTTTTGAACCTCCAGCCTTCTGGTTAGCAGTCAGATTCCTTAGGCACTATGCCACCAGAACTCTCATTTTTCCAAATAGGTATCATAAACTAATTCTGAATTCCCAAATTCTATATATGAACATTAATCTGCTAAATGAAAAAAAAACTTGTTAGCTGCAAATAAAAAGTGAAAACAGAAAAATTGTGGCATAAAAAGAAACTACAAATACACAAAATACTATTTATTGTTCCAATGTAACATTTCAAAGAAAACATAAATAGAACAGAAGAGGGAACAATAATTCCTTGAAGATCCAATTAACCAGGGTCTTGAAACCAGGCTCTTGGAAACATTTGCTGGTTAGGCTTAGGTTTGCTACGGGATGGGAATGGGGAGTGCTATTTGAAGCAGAGACTTGACAGATTAACGTTGAACTTCACTACTTGCTACTCCAGGGATAAAAAAAGGAAAAGCCAATAATTAGAATCAATGTCAGGCATTTTACTATACTATATTTATTTCTCACAAGAATACTATGGAGTGCTGTTGTTGTTGTTGTTAGGTGCCGTCGAGTCATTTCCGACATAGCGACCCCATGAACAGCAGAACGAAACACTGCCCGATCCCGCACCACCTCCACGATCCCTGCTATACTTGAGCCCATCATCGCAGCCACTGTGTCAATCCATCTTGTTGAAGGCCTCCCCCTCTTTCATCGACCCTCCACCTTACCAAGCATGACATCCTTCTCCAAGGAATGACCCCTTCTGACAACATGACCAAAATAGGTGAGACAAAGTCTGGC